AAAAATGATACTTTAAAATGTACTGACTATGATAAAAGTGTTGATACTTGTAATGAAATGATTAATGCAGAAAAATTATCAAATAATCTTACTCATTCGACGTCTTTAAAAACCCACCCAATTAGCAGATATTAATCCTGTTGATGTTTCTAACAATATTAATGAACCCTTGCAAATTGAGTTAATAAATTATGCTCAAACAATTAAAATATTAGTCGATGAAAAAAATGATGTTCAGAATGAATTAAGTGAAATGCAAAAAGTTTTAAAAGAAAAATCAGGTTAGTTTTTTTAAATTAAAATAATTCCTATTATAAATAGGATTGCAATAATGTTTTTTATTTTTTTAACAGATGAAATTATTCGGCTAAATAATCATATACTTAATTTAACCACAGTAATTAATAATCTTAACAAAAAAATATCAGACTATGAGAATGTAGTGAAAAATTTAAATCAGGATAATTTAGTAAAAGCAAACATGTTGGGGGAACTCCAATCTAAACTTATAACATTATCAACAGATTACGAAAATAAAGAAGAGGAGTGTGCGGAATATAAAAAAAAATACGAAGAAAAACATAACGAATGCCAAAGTCTAATATATAATTTGAATAATTTACAAAGTCAATTGTCCTTTTATCAAATACAACCTGTAAGTATGTGCAAGTTTTGTATAATTTGAAAAATGTATTGATTTTTTATAATTATTCGATGAAACGTTTTATTCAATCATTTTTTTATAGCCTTCCGATGCTCAGACATTTAAAATGATTGTGTTAGATTTGGAAAATAAAAATGCCATTTTAAAACAAGAAATCGACAAATTGGAAAAAGATGTGAGAGATGGGAAAAATGAAAATGAAAAATCTAGTCAAAAATTCACCGCCTATGCCGAGCAATGTAACACTCAATTAAACAACTTAAACAAACAGGTTATTTAATTTTAATCACATATTATGTAATTTTAAATGTCGAGTAATTTTATTATTATTATTATTATGTATTCAATTATCTTGTTTTCGTTGTTTGCAGCTTCAAGAGCTTACAAATGAAAATGAAAAATTAAAACAAATGAATGGCGCCATTGTTTCTAACCTACAAGAAAACCGAGAAGACAAAAATAATGCATTAATTTTAAATTATAAAACAGAAATGGCGGATTTACATGCTCAAATAAACGATTTGATGGAAAAAAATGGCGCGTATGAAATAAATGTGGAAAAAATGGTTAATAAAAAAATATAATTTTTATTCGAGTATTTTAATAACATGAAAAAAAAAAAAAATTAAATTTTATTATGTGTTTCAGGTCAACGAAATAACCGATTTAAAAAATAGCCTGGTTGAGAAGACTTCAGATTTAGAAAAAGCCGTTAATGATTTGAATGAAATGGAAGTGAAAAATAGAAAATTGCGTGAAGAAATTGAAAATCCTAAACCGAATGAAAGACTTTTGGCTGCCATTGAGAGTGATAAAGTTGCAGCTGCAAGAGCTGTTTCTCAAAATCAAAAATTAAAAAATCAAATAACGGAATTTGAAGAAGTTTTTGTTAAATTGGTAAGTTTTATTTTTATTTATTTAAAAAAAAAAAAAAAATAATGGATTTTGTTTTTCAATATTTATTTTCACATAAAAATCCTTCTTTTTTCAGAATAATGAAAAATTAGAATTAACGGACCAGTTATCTCACGAAAAACATATTAATAAAGAATTACAAGACCGTTTAAATAAATTAAACCAAGATGGCGACGACCATTGTCACGGTCATGATCACGATCATCATCACAGTTTAAATGATTCTCATTCCGTTTCGAAAAAATGCGAATCTCATTCCGATGAAGGAGATGATGATTTAGAACCTCTCGTAAATGACAGTCACGAAGTGAACGAATTGAGAAATATAATTCGACAACTTCAGGATGATAAAATTCAATTGAAAGAAAGATTGAATTACGTTATGACGATTAAAAATGAATCTGGAGAAGAGGTTTTAGAAGAAAATCCCGCCGATATTTTCGAATCCGAATTCGACGACGCGAATGAAAAACACGAGGACACCAAGTTAAGGCTACGACAAATGGAAGAAAAAGTTAGAAGAACAATGAACGAGATAGCTGTGTTAGACGAAGAAAAAGAAAAATTGGAGCATTTAGTTTTACAGCTTCAAAGCGAAACAGAAACTATTGGTAAGTTATTGGATATTTTTTTTTTTGTTTTAATAAAATAACATTTAATAACTTATTATTTATGTGTTTGTTATCAGGTGAATATGTCACATTATATCAAAAACAAAGAATGCTTTTAAAACAGAGAGCTCAAGAAAAAGATAATCAGCTTTTACAGTTATCCAAGGATAAAGAAGAATTAAAATCTAAATTAATCGCCTTAGATGAACTGGTACAGAAAATGTTGAAGGAGAAAAATAATGATGGCAATTCAGAACATGGTAATTTTACTATTTTATTCCACTGACAATTTTCAATGTATCAATTTAGTTTTAGTAGTCCTCTGTTTTTTTATTTGTTTATTTTAGATTCGACATCATTTTCTCCAGACGTACCAGTTTTAAATAATGCAACGGATGGGGATTCAAATAACACTGCTGGAAAAATAAGAGCTTTAATCAACGAAATAGGTTCAACAAATTTAGTTAAAAATCATTCAGTTGCCTTCCAGCATTGTTCTTGCTGTTCTGGAAGGTTAATAACAGTTTAAATCAATTTTTATTTTTTTTTTTTTTTTAAAAATGTTACCATCGTTGATTAAATTAATCATTGCCCTGAATTACAAGAAATTATTTATAGTTGTACATAAAAAAAGGATTATTCTTTAGAAATGATGTAGCTTAATTTTTTTTTATAATCTTGACAGAATTTGCTAAAAAACTTTATAAAGCTTTGTAATGATTCCTAATATTTATTGTATTATAAATTAATAATGAAAAGCAATTATAATTACCAGTTAATAATGTCAATAAAATATATATATATATATATATATATATACTTGTTAAATTATTGTGTTTTTTTATGTTTCTTACCGAAAACAATAATCCCATTAATATTAAAATTGTTGAAAATTTGAAGTTTTTTTTTGTTTTTCCTGAAGATTCTTTTTTTATAACTTTAAAACTGGTTGAAAAATACATTTTTTATTATTATTTGTCTTTAATATTGACTGAACTATACATGTTAGATATTTATTTTGTAATTTAACATTAGTTTTTATAGTTAACAGTTTTAAAAAAAAGTTTTTTAAGATTATTAAAAGCAGTTTATACAATAATAAAGATTTTCTTTTTATAAGTATAAAATTTTTATGAGTAAATGTTTTGTATTGTTGGTATTTTTTTATTAATTCATTTTCAAAAACCGTTAAATTTTCGAGAATATTCTTTTGAAGATACTCTTTATATTTGAATACTAAAAATATGTATACGAATGTCGTGTCAATAGAATCAAAGTTTGTAACTCTATGTAAAACTTTAGTCATTGGTTTTATCAATCGCGTTTGACGTTTATCTTTCCCTACAGAGTTACGAGGGGCGTACTGTATAGTTATCTCTGTTGTTTAGTATAAATAATTTTTTTTTTTTTTTTTTTTGCGTGTGTGTGAGCCTGCAGTTTTTGTTTTAGGTTTTTTTTTTTCTCTATTATTCAATTTTATTTTTTGGGCTTTTCAAAATGATGGTGAGTTTTTTTTTTTTTTTTTTTAAAATTTATTATGTACTTCACGTTCAATTAAGTAAATGAAAATCATGAATAGATTTTTAATTTAATTTGCTATCATTATTGGGTTTTAGTGATGTTAGTGGTCATTGTTTAAGCAAGGAATTCTATTGTTAGTTTATTTATCAGGTTCCGGATTGGATTAAATTAAGTTTAAACATGTACCATGACTTTTAAATAAAATTTAAATAAAAAAAATTTGCATGCTAATTTTCATTAAATTTTAAATAAAATTTAAAATTTTTCGGTTCATGTTTTAAACTTTTAATTTATTATTTTCCAAAACACTGATAATTCATTTTTTTTTTTTTGTTGTAAAATATAATACTTGGTCATTTTTTTTTTTTGGTATGGATAATAAATTCTTTTTATTTTCAGAATGATTTGGATGAAAGTGCTGTATCAAGTATTTTTAATGAAAGTGATTCAAAATCAAAGGTAATCATTTAAAAACGCAAATTTTAAAAATATATTTAGAGCTTATAAATTTATTTATTCAAAATTTAACTAACATTTCAACAAATCATAAATAATTAAAACAATAAAATTTTTTATTTTTATTTCAAAGTAAATTCTTTCTAAATAATTTACAGGCTTTAAAACAAGTTACACCCTATTTACCACAAAATGAAATAAAAGTTGAAATATCAGATGCTCTTAGTGAAAAGGACAAAGTCAAATTTACAGTACAAACAACTAAATACACTTCTAATTTAGAAGAAATAAAATTTTCTGTCGTTAGACAACATGAAGAATTTGTTTGGTTGCACGATAGATTTGAAGAAGAACCAAAATACATTGGATTTATTGTAAGATTTTTTTTTTTTTAACACACTTTTTCTATATTTGAATTTAATATGTAAATTTCAGGAATTGTTTTAACTACATTTGCAATTATTATCATGTTAAGTTTTCTGCCATATTGAAATTCATTTTAAAGTTTTTGTGTTTTGTAAATGATTCGTGTAATTTTACTCGATTGAAAATTTTCTTTTTTATTAGATTCCTCCTGCTCCCCCTAGACCTGATTTTGATGCTTCAAGAGAAAAACTTCAGAAACTTGGAGAAGGAGAAGGTACAATGACAAAAGAGGAATTTTCAAAAATGAAACAAGAATTGGAAGCGTAAGTTTAAAATTAAATGCGAATTTATCGAATGTATTGTAAGATGTATTATGACATTATGTTTCGTATAAAATACTATTCAAATAATTAATTTTAAATTCATTTTTAAGTGAATATCTGGCAACATTCAAAAAAACAGTGGCTGTGCATGAAATGTTTTTGATAAGGCTTGCAAAACATCCAGTATTCAAATTCGATTACACATTCCAAGTTTTCCTAGAGTACGATGAAGATTTATTAGTTCGAGGGAAGAACAAACTTGAAAAAATTGGAAGTTTTATGAACTCTGTATCTGTGACAACTGATGAATATTTACTCTCTGCAAAAGTCAAAGATATAAATGAATTTTTCGAAGAGGAAAAAAATTTCTTAATCGATTATCACAATCATTTAAAGGATGCGACAGCGAAGGCTGATAAAATGACTCGGAAACACAAGGATGTGGCCGATTGTTACTTGCACATAAGTGCAGGTTTCACACAGCTTTCTACGATAGACCACAAAGACCTTGACAAATTTTTGGTCAAAGTTACTGAAACATTTGAAAAAGCGAGAGTAAGATTTTTTTTTTTATATTTTTGCTTTTATTATTTACGACAAAAGTATTTGATTGATTTGATAAAAAGTCGATTGATTTTCATGACCTAAAAAGTTTTTCGTACGGATATTAAGAAACTCAAAATAACTAATTAGTCTAAATTTTTTTTTTTTTATCTTCGATAAATTAACTTTATCAATAAATTATAGGAATTTTTTTTTTTTTTTTTTTTTTTTTTCAGAAATTAGAAGCAAGAGTTGCATCGGATGAAGATTTAAAACTATCCGATACTTTAAGATTTTATATGAGAGAATTGTCTGCTGCTAAAAGGCTTTTATATCGAAGGCTAAGATGTTTAGCCGAATACACGAATGCGAATAGAAATTTAGAAAAAGTCAGAACTAAAAATAAGGATGTTCATGCGGTAAATACAATTACTCCATTTTTTTTTTTTTTTTTTTTTACCTAATTGATTTTTAATGAGTTTTGTATAACATATTAACATTTCTTCGCTTGAATTTTACCAACCTTGTTTTTCCGACAAATATTATAAATTTAAATTACTTCATGACTATTTCGATTAGGTATTAGTACTTTTGTGTTTATATTATATTAATATAATGTATTTTTTTAATAATTTTGTTCAATGCTGTTTAAGGCATCTGAAGTTTCAGAGGTGAGCTCATTAGGAAATAAATAATAATTGAAATATAACAATAACACTGTTGCAACAAAAACAAAAAAAAATGTTTTATTTGTTCCTTTTTTTTTTTTTTTTTTTTCTTTCTCTACATCAGGCTGAAAAAACACAAATAAACGCGTGTAATCTTTTTCAACAAATGGACAAGAAAGCAGAGGAAGAATTATTAAATTTTAAAGACAGGAGAATTGCAGATTTTAGAAAAAATCTCGTCGAATTGGCCGAATTGGAAATAAAACACGCCAAGGTAATTAAAATAATCGTTGAAAAATGAGTAATGTAGGTTTTTGTTTTTCAAGAGAATATACAACATGGTGGACTTTGAAATTAAAAAAAACTCAACGACGACACAAATAATTTATAGGCTTGATATTGTTATGTGTAAAACATGTTGAAACGCATTCTACGAATTTCTTTTAAAACATTCGATCCGCCATAACGAGACTTTTTTTTTTTATTATTATTATTATTATTAATTTAAACGTGTCGCACTGTACGTTTTCAATCACTGTGCAATCATTTCATTTTTAATTTCAGTCTCAGGTTTCACTTCTTAAAACGTGCCTGGCGAGTCTCAAGAAAGAATGACGTCAAAAAATTGATTCCTCCGATTCTGCACTTTTAAATATGGCGGAAAGCGCATCAAAATCATGAGAATCGCTTAACGTATTAACCACGACGTTGTAACACGTTAAAAAATCGGTTAAGATAAGTGGCTTTAAAATTTTTCCATGTTTGAAATTTAAAAAAAAAAAAAAAAACATATATAGTTATATTCTATTTACAAAAAAAATTCTTCACCGAACAATGTTAATGAAAGAAAACACCAGACGAATGAATATCATCTTCCTTCCCTTGTCAAAAATGTAGATTTTTGCGATTCGAAGAAAAAAAAAAATATTCTTCGATAAATTATTAAAAATTCTTCCTATTATTTTTATTTTGCGCGCGCTTTAAGTTTATAAATAATAATTTAAAAAAAGATTAAAAAAAAAAAATTTGAACGCTCTAAAGTCTAAGTTGAAAGTATTAAAGTTTTTTTTTTTTTTGAAACAAGTTTCAAAACAATTTTCCGCTTTTTTTTTTTTTTTTTTTTGAAACGAGAAACCCACAAAAAAACGGTTTCCGTTTCGGATTCAAAGTGTTTTCGTTGAAACAACAACAATAAAATATAATTTTAAATATTTATTTATTATTATAATAATTCTTAATCATCGTATTATCAAATGTTTAATTTAATTACTTTTCTATATGTAAAATTTGTTATTAAAAAAAAGAAAAATTATAAACATTTTTTTTAAATAAAAACTTTTTTAAAAGTGAAAAAAATCATCAAATTATTAAATAAGTTACAAAAGAATAGAAAAAAAAAAAGAAATTTAATATTAATTCCTTATGTTATATAGTTTTAAATTTTTATGTTTAGTAATGATTATTGTAGAATGATGTGAAAAAAAAAAAAAAAATTTATTATATTCATACATAAAAATAAATATATATATATGTATATGTATTGTTTATTATTTTTTAGTTTTTTTTTTTTTTTTTTTTATTAAGTTTAATATAAATTTATTTAAAAAAAATTAATCATTAGTGAAAAGTGTGTAAATCAATTTTTTTTTTTTTTTTAATTTGTTTGCATTTGCATTTATGATAATAAAATTACATTGTGAAAATTATTAATTTGAACATTTTATTATTATTTTCAAACCAAAAAATTAAAAAAGTGGAAGATGTAAAGGAAAAGATGGACATTTTACTCTATCAATTTTATTATTTTTATCCTTTTCACAGGTAAAATATTTTATATAAATTATAAATTATGAATATTGATTAAAGAAATACAACTTATAGTTTTTAACTAAAAGTAATAATGACGTTTTCATTTTTTCTCGCGAAAATACATTTCGTTAATTTTTTGTAAAAATACGTTCATTGTGTTAATTACCTAAAATTTTCAACGTATAAAAAAAAAACTCAATCGTATATGAAACCGTTATGTTTGGCAACACTGGAGTAAGGTGTGACGTAAATCAGCTAAAAGGACCAATCAAAATAGAGAAAAGAAACCTGCGCAAACTAGGCAAAGGTAGAAAATTTTGCCAATTGATTCAGCCATCTTGGGTTGTAATTTTTTTTTGTGATGTGTGATATAAAAGTGAAAATATATGTTTGATTTTCAGAATTTATTCGCGTTCCCAATGGGTTAGTTTCGAATTAGACAATTTTTCGTTAATTAAAATTTTTCGTTTTCAAAATTATGTTTTTTTCTTTTATAAAAAAAACATTAAATAATGATTTATTAGGTCGTGACTCGTTGTCAATTTAGGCCATTCATTGTGGCTTTAGTTATATTATATTTTTCTATATTTTTCCCTCTCTCTCTCAATTTATAAACATTAGAATTTTAAGAGATTTATTTATATAATTTCCCGTTGGTAAACTCTGAGATAAAAATTTTAGGCTGCAGAGTAAGACATAGCGTCTTTGTTGCCGGCGCAGCATACCGTATAAATTTATATATATATATATATAGATACAAATTACTAAAAAATTAAAAGGAAAGCCTTTAAAGTTTTTTTTTTTTTTTTTTATATTTCTTTTTATCATTTATATTTGATTATTATTATTTATGCATTATTCATTTTTATTAGTTTAAAATTATTTTTAACTTGGCAGTTTTATTTATTTACTATGTTAAGGTATAATAAACAATGAACTTGGCTGTTAGTATTTTAATATTAAATTCAATGTAATCATTCTTACAAAACCTAACTGTATCAGAAATCAATAAAATTATGTTATAATTTATAGTTTTTTATCCCCTAAGTTAATTTTTTAAATTTTATACTAGCATGGTAATTTATGAATTGCATTTTACAGCAATATTGTTTACCAAACCAAACCAATTTCATGGCCTACCTATGAATACTTTTATGCCTTGTAAAATAATTTTTTTAATTTTTTTATTTAAAGCATTTTTTAAATTAATTTTCTTTTTAAATATATTTTAATACTTATTAATGTAAACCATGATGCATAATTTGAATGAGATGGATTGTAACAGTTAAATTAATATTTTTAAAGGGCTTTTGAGGACATTGTGTTAATAATTTGTAATTATCCATTTTGTAAATGCCATTTTTAATAAATAAACCTTTTTTTTTTTTTTTTTATTTTTTTTTTGCAAATTCTAATTTATTACATAAATTTAATAAATGGTAAAACGATAACATATATATTTGTTTTAATATATATATATATTCTATTTGAACATTTTGAAAATACACGCATAAATATTTTATTATTATTATTATTATTACATGTTTCAGGTGATTTCAAAAGGCTGAATGTGTGATTGACAATAATTAATGTCTGGTTAGTGAATCACATTTGTGGGTGGGGCATTTGGTGCTTTTTAACTGTGGAAAATCTGTAAAAACTTTTCGGGGAACAACAGGATGTCAGCCAGCATGAGAACTACATTGCAAACAGTGCCTGAGTCTCTTCCAGCTGATCACGTCAGCAATTCAACTAAGGTGAGTTTTTTTTTGAATTTATTGAAATGTTATTGGGATGTGTATATATTTTAATGTATGTATTTAATGCTCTCTTACAAATTTATGTATCAATTTTCGTTTGAAATGGGATGGTGACGATGTAAAGGTCAAAAAGATTATCCTGCGAAATTTTTTTGTATTTCATGTAATAAATATTTGTATCATATTGAATGTATGAATGCTATGAGCTTAAATTTTGTCAAATTTTTTATGTACAATAAATTTGTTTTGATGTTGGGTAAAAGAAAAACAAAATGTTTGCTTGAGGAGATGTTTTAGTATCGCTGTCCACTATATTTATTTTTTTTGTAGGGTTTTCGAAAAACATTATAGGTTTCTCATACTGTAAGAATAAATTTTTAAATAATAATTAGTGAAATTTAGGTTGTCATTTAGGCAAAATAGAAAATCAAAACTTGTCATTAAGTTGTTACCAAGATCACATCTTAATTAAATATTTTTATCTCGCTCGAATCAATTTTTAACAAACAATCATGTTTGTTAATAATTGGTGAAACCGCATTCGAATTTTACAAAAATATTTTTTATAGTTTTGAATATGAAAACAATTATGAAAGTAATAAAAGTTTTGTGATGGACCAAATTAATTTTAGAGAGTGATACCTTTGTAATTTTCAAATTTGGGAAAAAATTTAGAGATTTTGACTTTGCAAAATCTCTCATCGGGGGTTTTTCTTTATCGAAATGAGTAATTTTTTGTATCGAATTATGAAAGTGAAATGTTGAAAATCTTCTATTCTAATTTTGTTTTTTTGATTGTCATACAAATTTGAATGAATTGAATTATTGAATTTTTTATTAGTATTTTTTTTTTTTTTTGCGTTTTGTTCGAACAGAAAATGATGACATTTAATTAGTTTTTATTCATTAAGGAGCATGATGTTTGTCGGATGTTAGTTTGAATAAGTTGTGACATTAAAATTTGGCAAAAATTTAAATCAAGTCAAGATCGATTGTTATCACAACTATTTATTTTTATTTTTATTTTTTTTTTTTTTTACGAAGGATCATTCGTTGCTTAATAAAAAATTTGTCGCGGCAAAATAAAAAAATAAACACTTTAACACATATTATTTACAAAAAAAAAAAAAAAAAAATCAAGGTTAAGTAACAACACCGTGTAATGCTATAGTTGTGTAGTTTAGTTTAACTACTTTGAAGACAAAAAACTATAAAAGAAAATTTACGTATATACGATGTTTGAGTTCAAGTTGGCAAAAAAAAAACTTTATTTACCTTTTGTTTAGCATTTGAAAAAAAAAAGAAAAAAAAAAAGTAAAATGTACACCTTGTTGTTGTATGAATAAACCAAGAACCCGCATTAAAAACAATTTTAAATATCGAATTTTTTTTGTCTGATGGAAATAATAATTTTTGTTGTTGTTGTTGTTGTTGTTGATGCCTAATCGTCATTTTCAAGGCAAATGTCAAACAAAAAAAAAAAAAAAAATTCAATAGGAGTATTGAAAAAAAAATTTTTTTTTGTTTTTCTGTTGTTGCGAGTATGAATGGATAGTGTATATACACACACACTTGAACTTTGAATAATTTTTTTTTTTTTTTTTTTTTTATTAAAATCGGATTTTACATAGTTGGTTGGTTTTTTCCACGGAAAGGGAAAATTTATGAAAATTTGTTTTTCACGAAAATTTATCATCGTTTGTGCACTTTTGTGTCTTTTTAAGTATTTCGTTAATTGATTCGTTTGTTATACGTAGTACGAGTAGTAGTAGTAGTCACCATTTTTGAAAAAATTTAATTTACTTAATTTTTAAACAAAACAAATTTTTTTTTTTTTTTTATATTTAAGGATGTGCGTGTTAATCGAGCTAACGCATTATTATTATTATTATTATATTTATTCAGTTTTATATTTTGTACGTTGTAAAATTTAATGAGTTTTCATTGAAAAATTTCATTCAAAACTAAACTTTTATTTCTTTTTTTAAAAACAATACGGCTCCTCTCCCCGCCCCCCGCCCCCTGCCCCCCCCGCTTCTCTTCGTATTCTATTTTAATTTGTTGTTACCATAGTGCATTATGATGGAGTCTTTTTTTTTTTTTTTTTTTTTTTTTTTTTTTTTAAAAAAATTTGATTTGTTCAAAATAATTTTAATTTTGTTCAAGGATTATTTGACTTTTTAAATTCTTAAAAAAACGGAAAGATTTCAGGTTCGGGATGGGAGTTTATTTATTTAAAAAATTCAACTTATTAGGTACGCATGTACTTTTACGTTTCGGCTTTCAAATTTGTTCTTCTTTTGCAAAAAAAAAAAAAAAAAAAAAATTTTCAACAAAGATCTTTTCGAAACAAAAAAATAAGGTAGACTTATTTGATGTATTACCATTATTATTATTATTATTTTAAACATAAAAATATGAATTTCACGATTTTAAAAAGCAACCGGGCGGGGGGTGGGGTGGGAATGCTGTTTGTCTATACAAGGAGAATCTCAAAATATAGTAAGTTGTTGTGGTGGATGAGAAGTTGTTATGATGGTTATGAGTACTGTTTTTGATGTGATTCATAACATTTGAATAACTTGGGTACTTTTTAAAATCAATGATGAATTACTCATTTTTAGTATTAATAATAATAATAATAATAATGAGAAAAAAAAGGTGTGCTCGTTTGTGTAAATTTGTAAATTGTTTAAAATTTTTTTATTTTAATGGGCTTTTCTTTTAATACGATTCGATAAAGTTTTCACCACATATAAAAATAATTTATTATTATTATTATTATTATTGTTAAAATTATTTCTAACTGTAAATAATAGTAGAGGAACGATTGATTGATTGATTGATTGTCCCCAGACGATGAGTTGTCATCATGTTGACTTGCTTCATCTTTGTTTATAAATTTCCAATGAGTGCTTTTAATTTTAAACAAGATTTTATTTCATTTTTATTTTCTATCGGAGTCTATTAGAGGAAAATAAATAATGTTAATTAATTAATTGTATTATTTAATGGTTTTTTTTTTTTTTTTTTTTTTTTTTACAAACGTAACGGTACGTTAATGAGTGCAGAAAATAAAATTACAGAACAAGAATAGAATATGTGCGGCGGTAATACTTTGCAGTTTTATTTATTTATTTATTTTAACAAATTAAAATTAATATTTTTTTCGAAAAAAATGTAGTTTTTGCGCATAAAAGATAACTGCGCAAAAGTTATCTTTTAAAGATTAAATTAATAATAATAATAATAATAATAATACGAATTTCTTTTGAATAAACTCGAGAGAGGGAGAGAGAGAAAGAGAGAGGGAAAAAAAAATCCAATCACAATAAAACAAAGATCGTTTCGGTTATTATTATTATTATTATTATTATCAGTTCGAGGTTAATGGAATAATGTTTTTCCAAGAGGCAATTAAGTCTTTGTCTTTAGAGATTACGGGATTTTAAATTTAATAATTTTTTATCTGTTCGTTTGGGGGCGAAAACTCACGTTTCGATTAGTTTAGTAGCTTTGGTAGTTGAAAAAAAAAAAAAAAGAGTCACTTTTCAAATTTCGTTGATTATCCTTTCCTCCCCCCCCCCAATAAACAATAAATAAACTTTTAAAATGTAAAAATAATACTTTTATATTTACTTCGGAATGATTGTTGTAAAAATACGCTTAAATCTCTCTGTGTGTGTGTGTATGTGTTTTGAAACTTTATGAATGAATTTTAGTAGGTATGGAAAAAAAATTGAATGATTATTAATAGTCGTGCGAAAATCAATTAAAAATTTGGCTCATTATTATTTTTATTATTATCATCATATTAAAATTAAACTAATATTACTAATATAAAAAGTTCAAATTACATCTTTTAGTTAAATAGTCTATTAATAATTTGGAGTAAGATGGTTATTTGTATTTTTTTTTTTTTTTTTTACTCGGCTTGAAAAACTTTATTATCGTACCTGATTGAGGTACATGCGTACAGTTCAAACTAACAATGGGGACATGTTTGTTTTTTTTTTTTTTGCACTTTTATCCTATTCCTAGTGGCAATCAGTAAGCAACGGGCGCCCTTTAAAAGACTATTATGTACTTTTTAATTTAGTCTCTTTTAATCGTGGTATTGTGTAGGTGCTTGTGTATATGCTAAAACAAATTGTGCCGCCATTTTGTCTTTTTTTCAATTGTTCTAATTTAAGGTTGTATTTATGTACGTACTGGATATATATATATATATATATATATATATATATATATATTATTAGTGCGTTAATAATAAAGTAAAGCAATTATTATTATTATTTAAATTGTTATCATTTATATATATATATATATATATATATATATATATATATATATATATATATATTTTATTTATTTGCAATACTTGTGTCGAATATTTTAATTTTCCGTTAATATTATTATTATTTTTTCTTTTTAAAAAGTAAATGATATTTTGCCCCCCCCCTCCCCCCAAACCTGACACTTTTTGCACTTTACGATGCATTAAAAAAAAAAAAAAAAAAAATTTTTTTGAGTTCGAACCTGGAAGGAAAACGTGGGGACGGGGGATGGGGGGGGGGAAATTGTCGTAATTGAAATTTTTTTTTTTTATTGTTCTTTATGACCAAATGATTGCTCATCATTCGTTTTATTATTTTATTCATTTATTATTTTTAACTTAAACTTCGTCATGCCTGAAGACGAATAAATTTTTTTTTTTTTTTTTTGTTGATATTTGTTCTTAACTCGTTTCTTTCCCTTTTTGACTTTCTATTTCTTTTTAGAAACTTTTTATTATTATTATTATTATTATTATTACTATTATTACAAGCGAGTTGCGAGTGTATAACGAAAAAAAAAAAGAAAAAAAGAAAGAAAAGAGAGATACAGGCTTATAAAATTGAATGTTAAACGAATTTGTTAGTAGGCCTTGTTGTTAGGTAGAGAAGTGGTAGTGGTCGTCGTCGTCTGCATTCCAATTGCTAGAATACTGGTTTCATGCTTCAGTCATCTCTTCGGCCATATCGGCCGCGGATCGTAATATTATTATTATTATTATTATTATTATTATTATTTTTTTTTTTTGGAAATATCGCGTTCGCATTTTTCTTTTTCTGTTTTGTTTTTCTGTGCGTGTATTTTATTTCATTGTAAGAATTTCGATATTCTTTTGTATTTAAATTAGTTGGATATTTTTTGAAAAGAAAAAAATGGACTCCTTCGTTCGTTAATTAAACGCGATTTTAAAAAGCGCGAAACTTGTATATGTGGTTTTTACCATAATTTTTTTAACGTAAAATTTTGCCAATAGGTAGCATTCAATACATTGATTTTAACATCCGGTCGATTTCGTTCTTCTTCTTCTTCTTCTTCTTCTTCCTCCTCCTCATCCATTCATATTTAATTCATTTATCGTAGTATAAATTTTTCCCTCAGGATTTTCAGGGACAAGTTTTTTGTTTTAATTTGTAGCATGTGTTTGTGTCGTATTAACGTGATAAGATTTTTCGGTTTTTTTTTTTAAAAAAAATTTTCATCGTGTAATAATTTCAGTACAATTTTTGCATTATATAATTTATATTTCATAATAAAATTATCTTTTGTTGTTTGGATTCGGTAATATTTTTTTTTTTTTAAAAAAATTAGGGAATATTAAAATTTTTTTTTTTTAAAAAGAAAATTTACGTTTAATTTTACTATTATTATTATTATTATTATTATTATTATTATTTTTATGAAATTTTGTAAGACGGAAATTTTATTTTATTTGGCGTGAGTAATAAACGTGTGACGTACGAATAATATGATTCATCAATTAGCGTAAGCATTAAATAATTGAGAATTGTTGTATAGTGTTGAAGTTGAATTTAGGTGGGAAAGTTTTTTTTTTTTTTTTAATTTTTTTTTTTACACAGCTGATTAAAGCTTTTCGAAACTTTCAACTTCCAAGTAATGAGTTAGTGCATGGATATTTTTAAAAAAATTTTCAATACGTTCATCATTGGAAAATCGCCGGAATAGTCAGTCAGTCGGTCAATAGATTTAAATAAAAATTACAATTATTGTTATTATTATTAATATTATCGTTTCGTGTGTGAGAGTAATGTATGAAGTTTCAAGTGTCACGGGGAATAAAGTAACAGCCGCGACGGCCATTCGTGCCACGCATCCTTTCAACGTTTCGGAACCTCGGAATCCGAATGGTCGGGGTGGAAAAGTGACGGATATGCCTTTGGCAACAACGGTCAAAAATCAAATGTTGAAACTTTTGCGTCGGAGCAAGAGTACAAGGTCGTCGAGTCGAAACCGCGAAAAAAGCAGCATTGTTATTTCGAATAAACGATATTCATTTGTGGCAAGTTCTCCGATATCCGCTCCGAACGGTCACGCCGCGACCGTGGTCGACCCTTACCCGATGGCTATGGGCGTGGTGGGAGCAAACGGTACGGGTAGAAGCAATTCTTCTTCCACGGAGAAAAAAACCACCGTGAATCCGAGAACGCGAGAATCGCTCCAAGAAAAATCTCACACTTCTACCTCTTCTTCTTCTGCTTCTCAGTCGCAAAGAAAAGTTAGAGTTTCGTCACAGGTAGGATTGGAGTCTGTAGTAATAATAATAATAATAACAATAATGTCTAATTGCCTAATATTTATTTAATTATTTGACCGTTTAAACGAATCATTTGATTTTCCAAGTTGGAAAAAAATCGAATTATTATTTAATAAAGAGTTACGCGTTATTTAATTATATGAGACGGGGGAGGGGTAGGGGTAGGGGAGGGGAAGTATTCAAGTATTGCGAAAATTATTTTTTTTCTTATAATTGCATAACGGAAATTTTAAGATATTGTTTTAATGAATGAGTACGTAGACTTATTGACTCCTCCATTCGAAATAATATTTAGGGTAAAAAAAAAATAGAGGAAGAGTGTGTGAGAGAGAGAGAGAGAGGGAAGATTTTAATGCGAAGTTTTAAATTAATAATAATAATAATAATAATATCGAGTAATCATCGCATTTAATACGTTCTTTTTGTTTCGCTTGAGGTCACCGACCTCACAAAATAAAATTTCATTTAAAATTTTGGCCACCGGTTGTTTTTTTTTAAACAAATTATTGAAATTATTGCTTTTTGGCTTCAAATTTTTATCATCGTTTCGTTTATTATTGTTATATCGATCGCTTGAGTTTTGATTTGTTTTATTTTGCGGATCGTGTGAATAATAACTCATTATTATTATTATTATTATTATTTGGGATCGATTATTGAAATTACAATCGGGGAAATGATGGTTTTTAATTTACTCTCTTTCCTACACTTTAAAATGTGTGTGTGTGTGCGTGTGCGTGTGCGTGTGTGTTATTTACGATAGAAAATCGATATTTGATCCTTTCTGGAGGCTGTTTTCGTTTGTTGTCAGAACGTTGCAGGACATAATAAAAGTTTTTCGTTTTTGTTTGTCGCGCCACATTCGTATATAAAGTTTATATGGCGTGTAAGTCAAATTTTTTATCAAAGAAACAAACAACACAAACGAAGCAAACAAACAACTTTCTCACAATTTAACATTGCGAATTGAAAACTTTTTTTTTTTTTTTTTTTTAATAATAATATGGCGGATTTTGTTAAAATAACTTTCACTTAAATTAATATCACGACGTAAAGTAATTATTAAATAAGTTTAAAAAAACTTGATTTTTGACGTCATAATTTTTTTAGTTTTTTTTTTTTTTTTTTGTATAAATATATTTAAAAACGGTTATATTTTCCCCAAAGTGTTTGTTTGTTTGTTTGTTTGTTCTTTCGTTTGTTTGTTTGTTCGTTCGTTTGTTTGTTTGTTCGTTTGTTTGTTTGCTTATTATGAGTATATTGATAAATTTGAATGTATTATTATTATTATTGTTATTATTATTAGTTATACAATAATTTTAATTCTTATTGCTTTCCAACGTGTTGTGTGAAAGGTTTTGAATTAAAAATTCAAAATGCGTGCGGTCGGTTGGCCATCCACGAACGAATGTAGGAAGTTGTTGTGCGGAAGAATAATAATAATAATAATAATAATTTTGCGTATATACGAATCAATGGTCGTGGCATAAATTTAGCGTCGACAAAAAAAAAAAAAAAAAAAAAAAAAAACAAAGACAAAGACGTCATATATCGTCGATAAATTAATGAATAAGGTGTGAGTAAAAAGAAAAAGAAAGATTTTACTCTCTTTTATTATTATTATTATTATCATTATTATTATTATTATTATTATTATTATTATTATTATTATTATTATTATTATTATTATTATTTTCACGAGAGGTAGCCCGGCATAAAAGTCATTGACATTGAAATGAAAAAAAAAAAATTTTAAAATAGTCTCGTGCTTGCTTAAAAAAAAATTTCGATTTTGTCGTCGATTCGTATAATCCGTCCAAAAAAAAATTATTTTAAATGTTTGAACAAAGTTTATTTAATATTACAAACTGGATTTTATTATTATTATTATTATTATTATCATAACATTCTAAATTATTCGATTATTAATCGGTCGATCGATCGATCAATCAATCTCGAGCATTATTGTAGAGGTTTGTTATTATTGTGTGCAAAAAAAAAAAAAAAAAACAAATCGTTACTTCATTGTTAAAAATCTATAGTTATTATTATTATTATTATTATTATCATTTTTTTAAAATGGCGAATATTAAATAATTTTTATAATTATTATTTATACGCCTACGAAAATCGATGGAAAAAAAAAAAAAAAACCTCCAATGAAAAGTCCTCCAAAGGAAAAAAGTGAATGGTTTTTTTTTTTTTTTTTTTTTTTTTTTTAAGGATTGTAAATAAGGGGGGGGTTGTTGTTTAACGTCGGGGGCATTTGAACAAGGTTTTCTGATTTTCTCTCTCTCTCTCACTCTCTCTCTCTCTCTCTTTTTTTTTGGGCGTGTAAACCTCCTACGTGGGTAGGTCCATTTATTTATTTATTTAATTTAGGATTGCAGGTGTTTGTTTAATGCTTAGCCTCCCCCCCTCCCCCCCGTATATTGTAAAACTTTTCTATTTAGTACTAATTGGAACGTTCGACTCCGATCAAGATAAGTTTTTAAACTATTTATCCTTTTTTTTTTTTTTGTGCACGCGCACACACGCACACGCACACGCACCGTCGTGACATTGAAAAAGTTAAAGTAGAGCGAGAAATAGAACGCGGGAAAAAGAAAAAAAAAAAAAATCTAAAAATCTAAAAATAAAATTAGTAAGAGGAGCTCTTTAGCTAATTCGAAGAGTGAGATGGCCAACAATGTGTGTTTGAAAATTAGTAATAATAATAATAATAATAATAATAATAATAATATTTAGTAGAGAATTTAAAAAAAAAAAAAAAAAGTCGAAACCATGTGGCAGGATGAGAGTAAAAAAAATATTATTATTATTATTATTATTATTTAAATAAGGAAACTTTGGTGTGGAGAATCATACTCTCTGATTGATCAGTGGTTGGTTAGTTAGTGTGTGTTACATGTGAATCACGGTGATGTCATTTTATCATTATTATTATTATTATTATTATTATTATTATTTTTACAAATAAAGGAATTTATAGAAGTTCGCGGTTTGATAGCATACTTGTCGGCGTGCTTTTTCTTCTTTGAAAAATTTTAGGTTTAAATTTAATAATAATAATAATTATTTTAAAATTATTAACGGAAATTCCTTAACGCGTATTTATTTATTTATTTGCGAACGTAAAATTTTTTTTCGTGTCATTAATGAGTGCGTGCGTGCGTGTGCGTGTGCGTGCGTGTGGAAATTAATTTTAAAAGGGCCTTTTTTTTTTTAATTAAAAGTCATTTTTTCTCGAAGAAAAAGAAAGACTGAGGCGGGGTGGGGAAACATGTGATTAAGAATGATGAAAAATGCCAAGATGACGATGGTGGGATTCGCAAAAAAAAAAAAATAAATGAATGACGAGTTTTTTGGGAGGGGGAGGGGAGAAAGTGCGTTTAGTTATTTGCTTTGTAGTTCGATCCTTGGTTCGGTCACAATATATGCAATCATGGTATGCATATTAAAACATATTGAAGAAATCTGAAATAATTTATTCCTAGAATAATGATGCAAACTGTCAATAATAACATCCAAGATTAATTTTTTTTTTTTTTTTCCTCCTAATTGACATTCATTTAAAAAAGGTTGCCATTAAAAAAAAAAACTGCGTTAAATCGCGTTTAAGAATTATTTTATATGTATTAACGGTTATTTTATTATTATTATTATTATTATTCGATGCGAATTCGATATTTTTTTTAAAAATGATGTTGAATTTTTTTTCTACGTCATTTACACGTTAAGATTGTATTGTGATAAGATGGAGAGAAAGAGAGAAAGAGAGAGAGAGAGAGGTACACTGTTTGTTTTCCTTTCGTGTTTGTTTAAATATATAATATAATATAAATATATATTTAAAAATAAATGGTATCTAAATAGAAAAATAACGTGGCGTTAGAAAAGTCGTGACCTTCGGTTGTTTGTTTGTTTGTATATACGTGAATGACATTAGTTGTGACAATGCATTGAATATTATTAACAAAAGGAAAGAAAGCAAGTTTGATTGGCAAGTCAATATCGTTGCAACAACAATAGTCGTGGTAGTAGTAGTAGTAGTGGTAGATAGGTGCAAAAATTGCTGTCATTTTTATTAAAAGCAAAAAAAAAAAATAAATAAATAAATAAATAAACTTGTCACAATTGTAGGAATCATTTGTTAAATTCTTGGTTTTTGTTTTTTTCAAATTTAGACATATAATAATAAACCACACCCAAAAGGGAAAAAGAAGAGAAAAGAAAATGAAGGAACGAGCGAACGGGATGGGAAAACGTTTTTCTTTTTTTTTTTTCTTTTTTTCTTTTCCAATTTGTTTCGTCTTTTTCTAATACAATTCGTTTATACATAAAACTAGTAACTATGTGCCGTATTAATTATGTAGTATCACGAAATATTTTTTTTTGTGTGTGTGTGCGTGTGTGTGACGTCGTGTCGTACGCATTACCATTTGATCATTAATTAATGCATTATAGATGCCAGCCAACTAGAGATAATTTTTAGTTCGGCACGGAAAAATAATGCGAAAGAAAAGTTGTGTAAACATTACTTGGAAAATTTTCTTTTTTCTTTTTTTAAAATAAATTTGTACTGTTTACCGACAGTGTAACGACGATCCCGATTGGTCGATTTAAATTAAAAAAGAAAATTTGTAGGTTTTAAAAAAAAAATTTTCATTTGGGATAAATTAATTGAATTCTTATCATTTTATCACACTCAATCTCTCTACGATTGTTATAGTTACACGTTATCATTTTTCAATAACTTGTTATTATGTTTTTTTCGATAGCGTAAATGCATTTCAAAAAAAAAAAAAAAGAAAAAAAAAGAAAAAAAAGGAAAATTGTTAATCGCGGTTCAATTATTATTATTATTAGGAATATTATCGTGGAAAATTCGTGTAAAAACTTGTAGTAATTGTGTAGCGAATTTGGGATCAAATGCGTGAAGCAGCAGCAGAAGAGTCACGGGTAGTAGTAGTGGTAGTAGATTTAAATTTTATTTTCGATTTCGTCGTTATAATACTACCCACACAAAAGTAGTTTTGTAGAAAAAAGAACCGTTATTCTTTACCCATTTGCATCCTCATACACTCACACGCACACGCACGCACGCACGCACGCACATACTTACACATTCGAAAAAGGGGATTTTTTTTTTTTTTTTTTTGGCTTTATCAGTTTGTTTGAATTGTCATTAAAAAGTTTCGCATGCGATATCTTGATTCTTATTTAATAACATTATTATTATTATTATTATTATTTTTTGCATTGGTTTTAGTGGTTGGTGATAATTTTCTTGTTAACAACGAACAAAGATAAGACCTGATAGATGAATATATTCGTGTGTATTATGTATTTACTATTATTATTATTATTATTATTTTGGTTTCGAAAGTTTGTTGTTGTTGTTGTTGTTGTTGTTGTTGTCGTTGCAGCATAAATATTCTGTTTGCTTTTGTGTTTGTGTGCGTGTGCGTATTTGTGTATCACAATCATTACTTTTATATTGTTTTATTATTATTATTATTATTAAATGCGCGGAATTTGTTTACATAAAAATTAAAATAATTTGTTCGCGTCGTGTTGTTGTTGTGTGTGTGTGTGTGGAACCTTTTAAAAAATTTTTAAATTATTTTCAACCATGTTTGTTTAATAATAATCTTTATCACATCTCGAATTAGCATTTAAAAAAAAAGAGGAAAAGAAAAAAAAACAAGACGATTCGAATTATGAAGTCAATTTTTTTTAAAATTAACATTATAACCGTGTTTTTTTTTTTTTTTGCGAAACATTGTTTCTAAACGTTCACGTTTTGTTTCAAAACATTTCGTAAGGAAAAGAGGAAATTAAGGAATGGAGGAAAAAGGATAGTTTTTGATTTAATAAAAAGGAAAATAAATAAAAATCATGTTTTCACCGCTATAATATATATAAATAATATTTTAACACTTTGGTGTTTTCTTATCGTTATAAATGATATCATATCTTTTAGAACCGCCACATCGCACAAGTGTTGACCTGTTTATAAAAGCAATAAGAAAACCTATACTGTCATTCGTTAATCACATGCTCTAAGAATCATTATTATTCTCTTGGAAAACTTTTTTTTATTGTTTGCGTAGGCAAGTGTACATGGCTGTGACTAATCTTGCCGTTATCTGAATATGGTAGTAGTGAACCATTTCATTTCTTCGCAGTCATTTTAAACTCTCAAATAAATAATAATGGTCGGGTTTGATTGAAAGTGAAATTTTTTGTGATTTGGAGTTTGTACGGGTTTTTGTTTTGTTTTGTTTTGTTTTCGTGTTTTTCAATTTTTTATTTTATTTTATTTTATTTTATTTTATTAAATATATTTGTGCATAAGTTTGTTTGTTTGAAGGAAAGAAAAGAAAAATAAAAAAGAAAGAAAAAAAAATTAACGGGTCGTCGTCACACATATGTTTTGTGTTGGGTTTTTGTACGATGGATTTTTTTTTTTTTATATTTTGTTATTAAAATATTGTCGAGTTAAAAAAGTAATAACGGTTTTTTTTTCATTGGTGATTATTATTATTATTATCATTATTATCATTTTATATGTTTTGTTGCGTATTTGCTGCTTTTAAAACGAATCCATCGTATATATATATATATATAATAAATTGTTTTTCGATAATAAAATTTATTTTATTAGTTAAAAAAAAAAAAAAAGCTTTTAAACGTATTTATTATTATTATTATTAATATTTTTTAAATTTAAAAAAAATGTGCCGTTTGAATGCTTTGTGCTATTAGACTTGTTGCCTTAAAAAAAAAAAAAAAAAAATTCATTAGTTTTTTTTTTTTTTTTTTTTTTTTTTCCATTATTTTAGAATATTTAAATGGAAAATTGAAGAAGATGCGCCATTTTTTTCAAATTATTAACGTTAGTGTATTAACGAAAAGGATTAAAATCTTGTTTGTTTATTAAAATTTAATTTTGACATTTTTTGGTTTCTTCTGCTGGTAATATATTTTATTAAAAATGAGTTTTAGTGCTTCGAACAAACCTGAATACGTCAATTTAAAATCAATTTTCGGGGATAATAACAACGCGAGTCGTACGTCGAAACATGTAAAGCGAAGGGCACCGTTGCCCCCGAATAATAATAATAATAATAATAATAATAATAATGGTTCTTTAAAACCCTCCGAAAACGTGAGGCAACCGTCCGAAAGTTCTTTTCGTGACACGCCGAAAAAAATCGTCGATAAAAATGACGGTAAAGAAATGAATGCAAAATTGCAAATAATGGAAGATGGTTTGGGTGGTGGTGGTAGTAGTGCCGTCAACGAAAAAGATTTCGATTTGAATTCTCAACTCAAGGAATTAGAAAACATAGCAAAATGTTATAATAATTTAAAAATAAAAATTGAAAGAAGTACAAACCCCTTCGAAGAAGATGGAAATGATTACGATGAGAATAAAAATCCATTTTACGAAAGTAAAGTAGTCAAAATGGAAGAAGAGGAAGAATTCGATGAGAAAAATCCATTTCGTAGTAAAACGATGGTGGAAGAATTTAACGGAAGGAACAACAACGCGAGCGATAAATACATTTTGGGGAGAAGTGAGGTCAACGAGGGAAACAAACACAATTCGGAAATCATATTGAAAACGGACGCGGAACAAAACGGTGTGGAATTGAGGAAAAATTCGACGCCGTCTAAAATCCCCAAAAGAACTCTGTCGGTGAATTCGGGGGAAAATGCTGCAAAAAAGGAAAATTTTCAAAGGAACGGTGATATCAGGCACAGCGTGGGTCCGGGAACGAAAGACACGCCGAAAGTGAGAAAAGATAGATTTTTGAGAGCAACGTCGGATGATAATCGGGATGCATTGGAAACGTTTAAAAAACCCTGGACGAGAGTTTCGGCCAAATTCAAACGGGAACCTCTTAACATTGCCAACAAGGGTCCTGGAAGGGGAAACAACAACAACAACAACAACAGCAGCAACAACAGGCCGACTTATCGCAAGAATGTGACTAACGTTCAGGTAGGAAAAAATAATAAAACGATTGTGTGTGACGTCTTAAAAGTAAAATTTTCCACTACTACTCGAGCAGAGGAAATCACGTGAAAATTCATTTAGGAAAAACGGAAAAATTGACTACGGGTTTTAATGCATTGCAAGATTTTGAGGTTCGTGAGAGATTGTGTTGGTTCCGCCTCTCCCCCCCAATTTTCTATTTTTAAAAAATTCGTGCCTCCTACCTCACATTTTTTTTTTTTTTTTTGGTAATTTTAAATGTATCACGTGGCATTTCGTTCGTTCGTTCGTTCGTATATATTATTTATTTTAATGATTATTTGACGATGGGAAATTTTAAAAATTATCATCATAGTTTCCATTTGCATTTCTTAACAAAAAAAAAAAAAAAAAAAAAAAAAATTTTTTTAAAAGTGCAAATGTCAAATTTTAAATACACCTTCGTTAGTTTGTTTAATCTATACTCATACGTAATCGTTATTTTATTTATTTATTTTAAGTAAATAAGTTTTATTACTCTATGAAACGTTGTGAATGCTTTGCTTTAAAAAAAAAAAAGAAGGAAAAAAATTAATTAGAAAGGGAAATAATAATAATAACTTGGAGCAATTAGAAATTTTAATAATATTGCAAAGAAAGTTTTTTTCCCCCCTATCTCTCCCCCTATCTCTCTCTCTCTCTCTCTCTCTCTCTCACACACACATTTTCTTTCTTTCTTTTTTTTTTTAAATTTATTTATTATTTTTATATATATTATTATTATTATTATTATTATTATTAAAAAATTTAATTTTCTGTTACCCCCCCCCCCCCCGAATGTCGTATTAATAATGTATTACAAGGGTAAGGTAGGTAACCCCGAATGAATTTATCGAATTTTCAAATTGATTGATTGACTGATTGATTGATTGATTGATTGAAATTTAAAAATGAAATTTTATACCTCGCTGCTTTTGCCGCAAATTTCCTCCTTTCTCTCTCTCCTTCCCCTTCTTCCCCCTCGAAAAGGAAAAATGTTACGATGCTCTTTTTTTTTTTTTTTTTTTTTTTTTTTTAATAAAAATTTTGATATATTGAATGTGTTTACCTAAAAAAAATTGATTGAAAATATTTAAATTTGTTTACCAATAACTAATCTCCGAGTGTGTGTGTGTGTGTGTGTGTGCCACTTAAAATATTGGCGATTAAGAGAGTGGAAAAAACGAGAAATCAGGTTTTTTTTGGGGAGTTAATTTATTTATATTTGAATTATTTAAAAAGGGGGGGGGAGACGTCGAAATGTCAGTTAACCGAATTTAATCGATTTCGTCGTATTATATACGCATATATATTTTTTGCGCAAGGTATCTCGCGTATACTGATTATACAACATTAATGAAGCCAGTTTCTCTCTCTCTCTCTCTCTTTCACTCTCTCTCTCTCTCTCTCTCTCTCTCTCTATCTCTCTCTCCTTCTTTCTTTTTCTTTTTCTTTTCTTCATTATTATTTTTTTAAATAAAACATTTGCGTGCACGTTTTCCTCTTCCAGCCCGCTCCCCCTTTCCCTTCCCCTTCCCCCCTTTCACATCTCCCTTTTAATTATTTATAGTTCATTCGCTGGAGGTTTATTATGTAGGTAAAACGTCAATACTAACAAAAAAAAAAAAAAAAAAAAAAAAAAAAAAAAAACACAAAACAAAAAGAAAACTTTTATTGTTGCTAAATTTAAAATTTTATTTAAAGGAGGAGAAGGAGAAGGAGGATAGGAGGAGGATAAGCGTTTGTTAATAATCAATTTTTTAATTTTTATTTTTGGGTAAAACCGTTTTTTGTTGTTGTCTCGAATTTTTGTAAAATACGTTACGTAATTTTTTTTTTTCTTTTCGAAAGTATGTTGTTGTTGTTGTTGTTAATAATAATAATAATAATAAAAACGAGTAAATTTTATTTTCAAACAAACATTTCTTGCAGTTTTTTTTACGTAAAATGTCGGACTGTAAAAAGTACAGGCGTGTGTGTGTGTGTGCTTGGATGTTATTAAATTTTTATTTTTTTTATTTTTATTAAATTAATTATTTCTTTAAGGTACTAAAACAACAACAACAACAACAACAAAAAAATTGTTTTATCGTGGGTCGTTCCCCGAGTACACGATATAATACCCCCCCCCTTTTTTTTTTGTTGTTGAACGTGTTACTCTACTACACGGTAACAACGAAAATCGTAGAACCAAAAATGTTCATTAATATTATTATTATTATTATTATTATTATTATTATTATTATTATTATTATTATTATTATTATTATTATTATTATTAATATATTAATTTTTTAATGTCTATTTTCTTTCAGGTAAGAGTAAATAGAATTTTCATCGGTTTTGAGAGAAATTCAGTAGGCGGTATTATCATTATTATTATTATTATTATTTGCAAGGGCGGTGAGTAGGTTAACTAGAATTACGTTAGTTGTTAATGTTACAAATCTAGGTTGTTGGGACCATTTGTGCCCGTGACTCACGCCACTCTGGTTGAATTACCATACCTAAAACCATGA